AATAACACGAATAAAAATGTTTTCAAAAATTGTGTCTTATCCTTAATGAATCACCTTGTGTGTTTAGGGTTATTTGTTAAGCCTACGTGACTCCTCCCCAATCATATTACCCCCCCCCCCCAAACAAATATCCTAGGCACGTTGCTGAGCAAAAAAAAATTGCCTATTTTTTTTATTTTTTAAGCGTTATATTGAGGTATGTAAATATACGTCACACAGCATCATCCGTGCCATGTGAGCAAACAATTTTTCAATATTTAAACGAGCTTCGTCCCCGGAGACGACTGCAACGGGTTTTCACCTCTTTATCGTGATTGATACATATATATATATATATATATATATTATACTCTTGGTTTCATCGGTGTTTGTTTTCCGAGTTGTTAGCAGAAGACAGTACCAGAGGGGGGTAGACCGCGCCAAAGCCGTCGGTATTGTCGATTTAAATATGTTTGTCGGGGATTTATGTGTATATATACATATTCCCAATTCTCTCTCTCTAATGTACTCGGTGTTTTTTTGGAGCCGCCGTCGCCAACGCCACGGGCATGTTAACTAACCACCCTCGGGGCCATCAGCAAAACACACATAATAATAGTCGGCCGTAACATCCGCCCCGGATAATTATTATTCAACTGGTTACGTCCCATACCGAGTGGGGTATTTTTCAGCCGATTATTCGCATTGCAATCTGTTTCTATTATTTTTTTTTCGAGGGCAGTGGGAACCCGTCGACAACGCCTACCGCACTAATTATCGACCGCAATCGTTTCCAATATCGAGAGACGTGTGTCATTGCCAGTCGTGTGGCCAGGAATGAGGTATTGCCGATTTGACAAAAAAACTACAAGGCAATACTTCCCCGACAATCACCGCCGCAGTAGGACTCCTTACATGCATAGCACATAACCAGCAGCTAAATAATGATCAAGTGGTTAGATCAAAAAGAATAACGCTCGTGATTAAGAATTATGAGTTATGCAATTCGTTCGGCCATATCTTTGTACTTTAGTTTTAAACCCAAATTTTATTAATTATTCGATTTTTAACATATTTATTTATTTTTTCTTAAGCATCCATGCAGCTATAAATTGTAGGGTGTGGGATGTACTTAGATTAGACGCAAAGCCATAGTGACAACCTTCTACGGAATTGTCAGTTTAGGGAGGTTTTCATTATATTATACACTACGGTTCTACATACATTTATTGAACACAAGAAAGGTTTTCTTGTGTTTCTCCGACCAGGAAGTCCTATCTAAATGTTGTGAAAAAGTCTTCGATTGTTGTATTTTTTAGTTATAAAACTGACAGCGACTAGCATACAAACTTGTAAAGAAAATTCAGTATCTCATGAGCATATCATTGTCATCATATAATCTTAACGGACCCTGCCATCATGGTTTCTGGACAAATTCGCTAACCAGAATTTTTTTTTATTTTTTATTTCAAATAGTTTGCATTTACATTCCAACATAAATCTAAATAAAGTATAAAAACGAATATCTAGATCTTAAGTCAAATAAATTGATCGTATACCTTCGGTAAGCTTATACATGTAGAATTTCATTGGGGTACTTCTAAAAATTGAAGTCTAGGAAAAATATTAATTCCTTTCTAACACATCGACATTCCAGTTTAAAACAACAACAAAATAATTATCCTACAACTAAAAATAATATCTACTTAAAAAATAATCAATAACCTCTAACTTCTTTAGAAAATAATTCAAAGTTCGTTGACATTTTTGTTGTTGCGATTAAACTCAAAATCTCAACAACTAGCTCCAGTTTTGAACTGAGGAGTCGTTAGTACTTTAATGAGTTATCAATGTAAATAATTTTGTATCATTACGGTATATAATATTAATTAATACATTTTAGCCTATAAAACGTGTAGAGGTAACTCAATTAGTACTAAGGTTGAAATGAAATAAATTGCATATCATAGAATCTATTAATTTGTATTACATTTGATTGAATTACATTGACATTTTTTTAAATTGATAAATTTTAAAAAATGAGTAGATAGTATCAAAATTGCATTTAAAATATGTCACGTGTACCTAAGAATTTTTTTTTGAAACTTTTTATACGAGTTATAAGTTTTTTTTTTCAATTTTTTCTACTGTCCAAAATTGTCTAGATAATTTTCGGTGATTTTATTAATTGTTAGCCTTCACGCAACTTTACTTTGAACTAACATCGCCAGCTTTATGAACATAATATTTTGTATACTACTGTGCTGACTAGGATTTTTATTCGTTAGGTCTATATTATGCTATATCAGAGGGGATCTGAAATGTAAGGGATCTAGGTGGTACGTTACCGATCATAACAGTTGTGTTAGGTACTTTGTACAGCCGATAAGATGGCAATAAATTTGATCGCGTGCGATAGCTGGTTTATAATGTTTAATGGGTTCGAACAACAACTATCATGCGTGCATACATCATCATCATATTGTTATACCTTTGGCCGTGAAGTGGATGTGTTTTTTTTATATTATAAAATATAAACGCACGCGATATAGGGGAAGCCTGTGCAGGTAATTGGTTTTACAAGTGTATAATGGGCGAAAACTGCTTAAACCATCTCTCCGACCACTGATAACAAAAAATAAAATAAATAAAACGTTTACCATATTATTATTATTATAAGCTAACCAAACATTGTAGCGTATCGCGCAATATTATATTATTGAATTTCATTGGATTTTTTCTTTTACCTTGTCATAGATTTTATGTACTTATTTGATATAATAATATAATATTATAATATGGTACCTACCTAAATTGTTCGTGTCTGTTAAATTAATTATCGACTATCGCACAACGATCGGAGATAAAGAGCAATAAGCTTTTCGTTTACATGCGATTATACGTGGTTAAATGCGTGACTTTCGACTACCCTTCTTTTCCCTTATTAACCCCTGTATAACTTCACCGTGTAACGTCCGGTCGGCTTTCATTAAGTTAGGCAATGAATGTAAGTCCGATTTATTAAGGTTTTGGAGTACAACGCACGCAACTAATAACGTTCAATATTACTACAAGCACATATTATCTAAACAGAACAACTAGAGGGCACATAAAACAGACTTAGCCACAATGTAGATACCACTACTTTGATTGGCTGACTTTTTTGGGTGAGGATCTGAACCTTGTTTTTCTTTTCTTCTGAGTTATCTCCTTCATGTTACCCACGTAACTCCTAAATGAGTACATTTGATAATGATGTTTTATGTATTCATCGAGGACTAAAAAAATAGCAGACTTGACCTGATACCGGGTTGATTTGTAGTTTGTGGCGGTAAAGGATTGTACATTTAATGTAGAATTTTAACGGCTAGCCGGTACATACAATACAGGCTGAAAATCACCAAGTTCTCCTGTAAAAGTTTGTGTTAATTTTTTTTTTTGCATTCAATTCAAATTGTTCAAAGCAAATTATTAATCAATGGACAACGCTGTTAATCCTCTTCCGACTTAATCGGGCTGTCACCGGCAGTCGAGCTTGTCGAGTGGTCTGGTCTTCTAACCCTTTAAACTATATACGTATATTGTTTGTATAGTAAGTAAAATATTCTAACTAATACACGATTGCCGTTATTCATAAATAACGTCCACGGAACGGCCGGGTTAACAGGACAGACGAAGGAGCACAAAAGTATAAGAACTATAACCGCTATTGACGACGGCACAATTTTTCTTTTTGTTCGTCTGAATAGGTACAATGAAATGAATAATCGTGAGCGTGCTTACCGTTTGTGCACTAATATAACGGTTCTAGACTCTATACTCTATAATGTTATGATTATTATTATTATGTTATACCTATATATTATGTACATAATTTTCGATTGATCATATCGTCGCAGCCAAACACCACTCAACAGTGCTTTGGGTTCATAAAATCACGTTGAAAATCGAGGGATTCGCTTTGATTTTCAAGTCAAGTGGTCGACGGCGATCAAAACAGAAGTCATCACTGCCTGCTATGCCTTCTCTCCCCAAACGCGCATTTTTTATTATTATTATTGTATTCCTCCGTTGTTGAGCACGTTCTTTTTGATCGGGGCCGTACATAATAAATAATAATATTATTTCCATTATTTGTGTTTTGCGCTTTTTTAACTTCTCAAGTGACAGCGCGGTGAGTTCAAAGACAGTAACGGGTAGCAGTTTTAATTGCATTGCGTGCTGCCACTGTCGGCTGTATAATAATAATAATAATATGTACATATTATCTAATGACCATCAGAGTGCATAGCTGCCGTTATCGAGGACAGTGATCGAATCCGGACGGAAGGACCAAATAAATTTTCAGCGTTGTTCCTTTAGTCGATTCCAACACAACAAACTTTACAGACAAAAGTGCTTGTACACCATTTAAACGATCACTTTTGCAGTTGTTTTATTAATTACGTTTTGACGGCTTGTACGATAATCCCGCAATTAGACATCGATCGTGTCGAAACTCAATTTATCAAGTTGTTAAACATATTAAAATAACTAAGTCAGGCACGAGAGCTGCAAACAACCGGCTAAGTATAACTTGTCTCATTTCCAAAACACACGCCTCCACTTTGTTCGGTCTAAGTTAAAAGTTCAATAGAATCGAGCCGGCAAAATACGAATTTGTACGTTATAATTAATCGGTCAATAATATATATTTATATATATACATATCATTCACGGAATAAAATATTGTTTTTTCATATTTATTTACAATCTATACAAACAGTACATTACGTGTGATAACAGTGAATAATAAAATGACAATAATCATAGCGTTTATGGGAAGACCCTTAACTAGGACATTTTTTCAGTTTAACCAGAAAGTCGTCATGCTAAATCCGGTCAAAGGATTGGTAGACATCCAAAAAAAAAACTGCTGCATAGCATTTTTTCCCCCCAGTGAGGTGGATATAGTATTAAAATAGTACTATATAGTCGGTGTATAGTAGAGTTGACTGATAATAACACGTTTTATGTTTTAGTTGGATACAACTTACAAGAAACAACAACAATGACAACGATCAGCGAAAACCGTAAAAAACCGACAGACTTTTCTATCGCTCGGATCATGATGAAGGACGAACCTCGCCCAACAGCATTCAAAGAATACATACCGACCGCGTTTAAACCGGCTGCGATTTCGCCCATGCCTTATTTGCTGTCGTATTCTGCAGCTATATTCCAACGACCCGATGTCGGTATCAAACAACACCAGCCATCTGCAATCTCCTCTTCCGCTGGTCTAGGAAAAGACACCAGCCAAGGTCCTAGCGCCTCCAAGGTATTCACGTGTCCGCATTGTGGCAAACACTTTCAGGCTCACTACAATTTGACACGTCACATGCCAGTCCATACGGGGGCCCGGCCGTTTATATGTAAGGTTAGTAATTTCGGTTTAGGTATGCTTAGCACCCCTAGTTTTAAAATTAGCCCCCCCCCCCTCCAAAAAAAAAAAAAATGATTTGTTTTGCATAACAAAAGTAGCGATTTACTAATATTTCTAATGCTTAAGCACTCTCACTTGTTTTAGCGAAATTGCTCCTCCGGTTGAAGTGCTATGCGCTTTGGGATATTCTCCCAATACAGACTAGTATACACCACAGATCTCATATTATTCGGCTGGAGGAGATCGAATATAAAATTGAACTAAAAAAATACATACATATACGTAGTTAAAATATTTTCGTTAAGATACCATATCATTTAATTTTACAAGTGAAATGAGTCAAAACAATTATTGTAGATAGCACACTCCTTTACAAAATTTAAAACGATGACATCAACTCTATAATTACACATTAAGTGATTCCTTATAAAAAAAATATTGTATGGTCATCGTTTTGAGACGTTAATCTGACAGACTCAACGAATTTTATTACAATTGTACATTAAGTTTAAATATCGTATAATGTAGTAGATAATGAGGATAACACTATTATATTCATGAGTAAACTATTATTGATTCTAAAAAGTAATTTTACAAAGAACCATCCTCAAACTCTAATATACTATAAAGCCTGTCCAAACATAAAATACAAAACGTTTTACATTCTATGTAAATCTAATATAAAATTACTTAATTTGATTTTTTTAAGTATTTTTATATTTCTTTTTTTTTTTGCAAGTTATCAAAAATGTGTCCTTATAATTTTATACTTTTGTACGTGATTTCATTTCAATCGAAAAAAAAATTGAAAGTTAAAATATTCAGTACAACAAAATTGCACACAGCAATCATGCTTTTAGGTTATACTCATATACATAGGGGTGGGCACAGGGAGAATTAACCTCTCCTCCCAATATAGGCTTGAGTTAGGTGAAATCTCCTTAGAAACCATAACAGTTTAAGACATTACAGGGATTATAGACACCCCTAAAAATCAAGTCTGAAATTAGCTTACAGAGTAAACAGGTAGTTAGTTGTATACCATACATTATTATGTATTTGAATAGACAGACAAATTTCAAAAAACACACGTGTTTGTTTTTTTTTTTTTGTTTCCCTTCAAAATCTAGTAGTATATTAGGCCCACGGTCGAGCAATATTGAAACAATATTGTAACACGTGTGCAAGGGGATCCGACGTTTAATGGAGTGGAAAAATAATACAGTCTCGATCGGTATCGTCATAAAATATTACATAAACTACCGTAAAAGTACCTCTTGATATGTTTTATTGCTACTTTAGTTTGTTCGACTTGTACTACGATTGTTTTTTTTTTTTTGTTAATAAACTATTCGAATTTCTTTTTATTACATAATATTTGATTTTCCCGGACAGATATGCGGCAAAGGGTTTAGGCAAGCCAGCACGCTGTGCAGACACAAGATCATACACACACAGGACAGGCCTCACCATTGCGGAGTATGTGGTAAATCGTTTAACCGGAGCTCCACGTTGAACACACACACAAGAATCCACACTGGCATAAAACCTTACCGTTGCGAGGTGTGCGACCGGCGGTTCCACCAGAAAGGCAACTACTTAAATCACACGTTGACTCACAACAGCATCAAACAGTACAGATGCTCGGTATGCGGTAAATCGTTTCACCAGGTAATTTTAATTATTATTTCGAAAGCCTGTAACTCGCGCAATATACCTTAAAGCAACAACATTAATTTAGCCAATACCTCCTGCCCCACTGGCAGTCAGATTACAGACTCTCTGGCTGTAGAACTTTGAGCTCAAGACTGCACTCAAGACACATCCACACCGCTGACTAACAACATTAGTTGTTACATCATATTAAGTGTTATAATAATCAGCAGTGAACCCTTAAATTGGTTTGCACACTCGCAGAAAACCCTATCTCACTCCACAAATCCCTACAGTTGACCATAACGTCTTTATCAACGCCTAAATGCCAAATGTCTTTTCGTAGGTTCTTGGATATTTCTTACAAACTAGTTAAATATACTATTTTATTAAATTATTTAAATATATAAATTAAAGCTGTTATCCAACAGTTGGGCTACACTTGCCTTGCGGTATATACCTGAAACTTAAAAATCCCCCACCCTTATTCTCTGTTACCCTTTTCGCTACATCGTTTCCCTGCCTTCTTTTATAGCGACCAACCCGATCCCGGTCTGTTCACTAACTCGCTGTATTGTTTTTAGATTTACAATTTGACGTTCCACATGCACACTCACCGGGAAAAAAAACCGTTCCAGTGTACGGTATGCAATAAGGGATTCTGTCGGAATTTCGATCTGAAGAAGCACAAGCGCAAACTTCATCCGGACGAGGACGAGATCCGTCATCGAGCCGTGTCCTCGTCACGTCAACAGTTGTAGTGTATAGATGTTACTATTATGTTTCGGCGACGACAACAATCAATAAATATTAAAATTAACAATAATACGCTTACCTACCTAACTTAGCAAGCCGAATCGGTAGTTTTGAATAATATAAATGTTTGTAATAAAGCGTTTTGTGATATACATATATATATATATATATTATATATATATGTAATACACCTACGTAGCTATTCGCTCTTACATTATATAAATATATATACCTATCATTATCCATTGGCCTGTGTATAACACGTGTAACGCGTGCGCCACCCCCTCGGTGCTCCTCTTGTATATATACGCGCTAAATGTATTGTCGTCGTGTGAATGTGTCATGTCGAGCGGTAAAGATTATTTCCGGAAAATATTATACACGTTTCTCGCGCCCTTTACTTTTGGGGGTAATTGGTTTGTTTGCGCTGTTGAATGGGGCAATAAGCGACAGCAGGGGTGGAGAGGGTGGGTGGCGACAACCCTCAGTCAGCAGTCTCTATCGTCATCATGATTAATACACTAGTATTGTTGTGCTTGCGTACAATCGCCCCGCACCCCTTTGCCGCCGCCCGTGCATCCTTCGACTCGACGAAAGGTGTGAACACACGGACCGCGTTTAAATTCTCAAATTCCTCACGAACAATATCATACACAGTGAACCGTAACGCGATTATTTCCGACAACTCTAGGGCGTCTCGTCACCTGATCGACTTGCACCGAGCAACCCTCTACCGAGCTGTGTACATCTTCTGAAAATCTCCTCTGGGGGTTGAAATCAAACAGGGCTGGTCCCCGTCCCGAGGAAAATCGCAGAGCCCTCTGGTACGATACGGAGGACTGCGGTTCGATCGTCGCCGAACACCGCTAGATAGCGACGTAGATGATATTAGTACATAATAATTATTAATACATTTCTTTGGCTTGGAGCAGGAACGGCCAATGTCAATTTTGTGCATAAACGAGTTAGTCCGCTAATTGCAAAAATTGAATCATTCTTTATATAGTGTGAAAAAATCACACTCTGAGGCCAAAAAATGAATTAATCATGAAGAATTTGATAAAAAAAAATTAACATAGAGCCTAATGGAAAATAAAAACTTCAAAGCTCATTTTCCGAAAGTTGCAAAAAATGACATTGGCCCTTCTTGCTCCAAGCCACAGATTTAATATTGTAGACTTATATTTATGGCAATCGCGTAAAAGATATACTTACTACTAAGATATATTACTTTTTCAAATTGCATTTTAATTATTTAAAACATACGAATATCAATTTGTACATTAATTACTTAGTGTTGACATAGGTACTTGTAAATTAATAAATGTCTCTCTAAGATAAAACGCGTTTCAATAGTTTTCGTTTATATCAATACATACTAATTATTGATACCTAATAATTGTTAAAATCGCATATTGTCCTTGTTCTGTTGAATGTGTATATATTATTATTATTATTATTATTTGTATTATTATTACTATTTGACTATCAGATTTATCAATTTAGAGTTAGCTTATTGGTCGAGTTAGGTAATTTAAATGATTTTAATTGGATAATAATATAACGTAAAATACCAGTAAAATAATACAATCGTGTAAATAATTTTTTAACTTAAAAACAATGTTTAAACTACTGAATTTACCGATTTGTCCTGTTTGGAACTTACACCTGATTAATAAGTTCCGGATAAGGTTAACTTAGTAAAAATGTCTTTTTAAGTGTGTAAAGAAGGTTAGGTACATTTTGGTGAAAAAAAATTATGAATTTTGGCTGAAACTTATTGAAATTGTTTTTAATTACTATAATATTTAAATAACCATAAATATATCTATTTCAACTCAATGACTATGAACATTTTATCAATTCTTATATTTTATTTCTTATTCCCATACTAAAACTTGTTGAATTTCTCCTTTTATACACTTCACAAATTCGTCACAATTGACTGGTTTTCTTTTTTCTCGATTTTGTACGTCTATACACCTTCTTTTTCTCTATTTTATATTTCCAGTCTGTTGCTCGCCGCACTTTTATTTATTTATTATTTTGCCGTACACATAAAAAATGTTACATCAAATCAGAAAACTGTTCTTATGACGGATCTAAAAAATAAAATTCACCGAATCTTTTTCAGTTTTAAAATAATGACACAATAGAAATTGAGAAATTAAAGTGATGAACATTTGCTATTCATTTTGTAATCAATCCACTGGTATAAGAAAAAACATGTTGCCAACAGTTTTATACAAATGCAATTATTGACGAATACTTATTTTGTGTCTAAACAAATTGTTACTATGTTTGACAAAGCTAAACCAACCCTAACAAATTATTACATTTCTTAACATATTAGTATTATCTCAACAAATTGTTACTATGATTAGCACTTTCAGTGAAAAAAAGCAAGATATAAATTATAATAATTAGTTAGACAATATATTATTAGAACTATTTATTTTACAGTTATGTCATAATTCATAAAACAATAATAGGTAACTAAATAAACCATTTATATTGACTATTGTGTATTAGTGGTTTACTATTAAACTTTTAAAGATGGTTTAAGATGGAAAGGTTTACTTTTAAAGATGTATTCAAGTATTAAGTTTTGCAATAACAATTAACAGGCATATGAGTAGTATAGTAATCTATAGATGACTGAGTGTTACTGATTCTGGTATATATACTAGAATCTCAAGCGCAAGCCAAACGCTCTTCGGCCAGGCGCCAGCGCTACTGTAAATCCCTTTAATGAATAATGATTAAAGTTTAATCAGTTATAAATACATAGTTTATACCATAACGTTATGAGTTATGACATTGCAATCGATTTAAAAAAGTGGGTATTTATGTTTGATATTAAGTATTATAATATGTAACAAATAATAAATTGTAAACAAAAAAATCAATTTATCTCCATTTCACCATGTTAGATGACCGATTGTTTTAATACCAATGAACGACATGTAATGTTTAACTTAATTTTAACTCATGTTATTTTTAAATATTTAATTATTATACAAGTAGAAAATAAGTAGAAATTGCACGCCAAGTGTAATGGAAACTTATCTTTGAACTTTGATAACAGATGTCGCTGTAGGATGCAGGCTACAGCCATATAATATACTATAAACGGTGATTTTTTTCAAACGAATTAGTTACACTAATTGTTTTTAAAATTCAACTGAATTTTAAAAAATATTCTGCTGTAGGTAATGCCAATAACACAAGCCACATTTACAAGCATATTGTTATCAGGCAATATAAAATGTATATCGAAGTCTTACAGCCGTACTCCTCGGTTAAGCTTAGCAATAATAAAGTATAGGTTAATTATACTAAAATTATAGGCTAAACTATACTTGCCATTTTTTTACTATAACTTTAATAACACGAAAAGTACTGGAAATTCAAACTGAATTCCAAAGACAGTCATAGGAACTAAACGGGAACTTTTTTTTGTATAGTTAGGCAAGTTCACCTAGAAGTTTTGATTTATTTAAATTTTTAATATAATAGATTTATAATATAATATATATGATACATACATTTTACAACACATACAAGTCTTATTATCAAAACTATCGAACAATTTTAACAGTTTAAATCGAATGGAGAAAATGCTAAAGAACTCCAAAATTGTTTATTAAACTAAAATTTGATTATTAAATTAAATTGATGCCTTGCCTATAATATAAAAATCAAAATTTGGAACTAATTCGACTATTAAAAAAAAAAGCGCCATAATTTTAAGCTAAAAAATATGTATACTCTTAGAATGTTTTTAAAGGTAGAGGGGTGGACTTTTTAAATTGTTGACCCAATAAAGTCCTTTTCAATGGACAACAAACTTGCTACAGAAATACTAATCAGTGATTTAAAAGATATCGTGGGTCCAGAAAAAACATTTTTTTTTTTTTAAACACCATTGAATCAGCATAAAAAAAACAATACTTTCTTACGCATCAAAATGAAAATGAAAAATGCCAAGTAACTAGTTTTAAGTTATGACCATCGTTAAACCGTTTTCTGTACTTATAATATTATAATAAATATTGTTTTAGATTCTAGACAAAGTAACATTATTAGACAAGGATTTATGTGTTATTTTTAGAGATACTCGTGTTTGATGGCACGAAAAACACGTGTTTTCGAGGGCATTATGGGTAGATAATGGGTAAAATAATATTTTTAAAAAAATACCGACAACGTAAATCAGAGTCGATCAGTGGTATACCGATTTGATGGGACAGACCCAATTTCCTTTGACGTTACATAAATACAAACGATAACCGCACAGGGATGCCGACAACAAACGCGGCCTCACTAAAAGGATAGAGGGGAAAAAATACACATTACATACTTAGGAAATTGTTCTTTACATAATTACTATGAGTGATTTTGCGTCATATAATTTTGTCATTTTTGTATTTTTAAAAAGGTCCACATATCGACACACACGGCCTATATTTATGTATACACCACTTGCATGTTGTTATTTAATGGGACAGTCCACTTGTTATGGTACACACAAGAACTAGGCGGCTTATTAAGGGTCGTTAGTTCTAATGTAGACCCACAATTATTATAGGGATGGATTTATTATACTTCAGCTACGAATATTGTTATCTCGGTATAATGTTATTTATTATTTGCCTAATGCAGAGTGATTGGTAGTTAATTATGACCCAGACAATATCTTAAAAGATATGAGACATTTTTTTTAATTATTCTTTTTCATACTTTTATAGCTGTTATAAGTTATACAAAATTTAAAATTGCCAACAATATAACCCCATCACTTGCGTGTTAAAATTCTATGCATTTTAGGGATTTCTTATTTAAATAGACTACTTCCAATTTAAAGGGTTAGCCGTAGGAAAACCAAAACAAATAAAAAAAGCAGTCCATACGACATACATACTGATATAAAACATACATGTTGTTTCCCTATGGACCGGTAAAATGTTATCTTAGTTTTTGTTTTATATGTTAATCGAAATAGAAAAATAAATAACTATGGGCGCTAGTATCGTGGAGGTTATCTAGTTATGATATGCATCTGTTATAGGAAAATTAAAAAAAAAACGTGGAAAAGAC